TTAGGTCTTTAGGGAATAGACGGAGAAGGGGAATAGCTGGGTCAAATGGCGGTTCCATGCCCAGCTTTCCAAGAAATCTCCATACTGCTTTCCAAATTGGCTGCACCACATAAATACCTTTTTTAAAAAAATATTTCTTTTTAGTTGTTGATGGACCTTTATTTTATTTATTTATATATGGTGCTGAGAATCAAACCCCACTTGCTAGGCAAGTGTGCTATCACTGAGCTACAACCTCATACACCATTCATAAATATCTTTTGAGTGCCAAATGTGTTCAATGACTGTGACTTAAAACAAATGTAATATGCATAGACCTTGCTCTTTGAAGTCATAGTTTAAGTTTGTTTGTTTATTTGTACTGGGGATTGAACCCACGGGCGCTTAACTGCTGAGTCATATCCCCAGTTCTTTTTATTTGTAATTTTGCTACAGGGTCTTGCTAAGTTACATAGGGTCACACTAAGTTTTTGAGGCTGGCTTTGGATTTGCAATCCTCCTGCCTTAATCTCCCAAATTGCTGGGATTACAAGTGTGGACCATGACATTTGGCCCTGAAGTCATGGTAAAGTATTAAGATTTGTTTTTAAAAGTAAGTTTTACGGGCTGGGGTCATGTCTCAGTGATAGAGCACTTGCCTAGCATGTGTGAGGGGCATTGGGTTCAATTCTCAGCACCACATATAAATAAATTAATAAAGGTCCGTTTACAACTAAAAAATATTTTTTAAAAAGTAAGCTTTAAAACTTATATAAGCAATATATATGGATATAGTTTAAAAAATGAAATTGTATAGAAGCTGAGTGTAGTGGCGTGCATACCTGTGATCCCAGTGACTTGGGAAGCTGAGGCAGGAGGATCACAAGCTCTAGGCCAGCCTCAGCAACTCAGCTAGACCCTATCTCAAAAAATAAAAAAGAGCTCAATGGTTAAGTGCCCCTGAGTTTAATCCTCAATACCATTCAATCAATCAATCAATAAATAAAATGATAAAAATAAAACATAAAATAGATAAAATTTAAAGAAAAAACTTGTGCATCTTCCCTTATGGGGTAACCACTTAACCGCTGTTTTGTTTATTTTTCTTTTTCCCATCTTTGGGTGTGTGTGTGTGTGTGTGTGTGTCTGTGTGTGTGTTTGTGTGTGTGTGTGTGTTTATGAGAGAGAGAGAGGGAGAGGGAGAGGGAGAGGGAGGTGTATTGGGGATTCAACCCAGGGGCACTCTACAACTGAAATACATCTTCAGCCCTATTTTAGTCAGCCTTTTCAATGCTGTGACTAAAAGACCCATCAAGAACAACTTGAGGAAAAGTTTATTTAAGGGCTCATGATTTCAGAGGTCTCAATCCATTGACAGCCAGCTCGATTCCTGGGGGCTTGAGGGAAGCTGAACATCATGGCGGAAGAGTTTAGTGGAGGGAAGCAGCTGACATGATGATCAAGCAGCAGTGACAGAGAGATCCAGAAAGAGTATCTACTCTCCACATATGAAATATATGCCCCAAAGGCACACCCCCAGGGATCACCCTCTCTAGCCACACTCTACCTACCTTCAGTTTCCACTCAGTTAATCCCATCAGGGGATTAATTCACTGATTGGGTTAAGACTCTCATTTTGGGGGACACCTCACATCCAAATCATAACATTCTGCTCCTGGTTGCCAAAATCTCATGACCATTTCACAATGCAAAATACATTTTGTCCATTTCCAATGGTCCTCATATTCTCAACAGTTCCAAGATTGTCCAAAAGTTCAAGTCCAAAGTCTCCTCTGAGATTCAGGGCAAGCTTGCATTGTGAGCTCCTATAAAAATCAAAAGCAATTTACAAGTATCTAGTATACAAAAGTACAAAGTAAACATTTCCATTCACAAAAATAGGGGCATAGAAAGAAGGGATGGCACCAAAGCAAGACTTAAATCCAGCTGGGCAAACAAATCCTGTAGCTCCACATATGGCTTCTGGGGCCCATGGCATGGTGATGTCCAAAGGACTTGTATAGATCCGCCTCATGTCCTTGTTGGTTGTAGCCATAAGGGCCTTTCTGTTGGCTTGTCTTTGCTCAATTCCTGCAGCTTTCGTAGAATGACGTCCTATGTTAGTGGCATTTCTTAATCTTGGGGTCTCCACTGCAGCTTTGGATTCCTCTGCTGCCCCCGTCCAGTGCAGGCAACTGAACTAAAGTCAGTGAATTTGGGGTGACACAAAATACCACGCAGACATGGAATATTTTTTTATAAGTTTCAGAACAGCTTCCCAGGCTCCCCCACAGGGTGGAGGTGGGGGTGGGAGTGAGTCACGAGAAGCTGATGAGAGAGAAAGAGGAGAGAGCAGGAGCGCAAGCACACATTCTGGAGTTGGCTTTAATTGGGGGACACTGTTTCTTAGAACATTCTATCCAAAACAGGGCAATGGGTAGGATTACAAAGGAATAGATGAGTATAACTCAACCCCCCCAGGTAACATCTACTCCTGGAGCCATGCCTCATTATCCACGCAAAGGTAAAGCCCAAGTTATTGCGGGGCACAATAATTGTTCAGTATCTCTTGCTCAGGACTTAAGGGCATGTATTTCCAGAGCGGCTCCTAATATTCCTCTTCATACTTTGCCCTCTCAGGAGTTGCTTGCAGGGACTCTGACCCTGCTGTACTTTGCCTGGCTTCCCATGCCTTCCTTTGAAATCTTGGTGGAAACCTCCGTGGACCTCCATGACCTGCAGAACCAGCACCTTGTGGCTGACACCCTCTAAAGTAGTAGTAAAGCTTCTAGGAACCAGGGCTGCAGCAGCCTCTGAGTGTCTGGGTGACTGAGCACATTGAAAAAACTTCCTAGGCCCCTTGTGTAAGAAGAGTATCCCACTGGTCTCTTCTCAAAAGAATTTTACTTCCTTGAATCTGAGATGGACATGATCTTGCCAATTCCTGTGATGTCCTCAGGTCATCTTTCTGATAATCTCTGGGCAAAGGCTTTTAGCATTTCTTTAGTGGCAGCAATCCCTTTAACAACTGCAACTTCCTTAGCCCTAGTTTTACTCCACCTTTGAGTCCAAGTTTTTCAAGTCTTTCTGCTCCTGAATTTTAATTAAGTTTGACTAAAAGCCACCAGCAATATCCATACCCCTACCTGAATGCTATGCTGTTTAGAAACTTCTGCCAGATTAAGAAGTTTATTGCTTTTAAAATCAGCCTCACAGAAAGTCTCAGGACATAGAAAAATGCAGACAATTTCTCAGCTAGAATATAACATGAATGGCTTCTAGGTCAATTCCCAATAGTATTTATTCCTCTGAATTTTCCTGAGCCCTGTCATCACTGTCCATGGTTCTATTGGCATTCTGGCTTTTTGAGCTCCTACCAGAATCAACCATTAAGCTCCACTTCTAAGACTCTAAAGCATTTCTAGCTTGCATTTAAAAATGTATTTTTTTTAAAAATGTGTACTTCCCCCATAACATCCATGGAATGCTTATTTGATTCCACAATACCCTTTTCTCTTTTTAAAGAACTCCATGCTGCACTCTATTAAAACGAATGAAAATGAAATGGCACTTAAAAGCTGGAGAATTTTGCAATTTACTTTGAGATCTATGGAAAAAGTCTCAATTGCTACTATGAAAATTCAGTTAATGATAGGAAGTGAATGTGTGGGAAAGTCAAGTATTTTTGTCTAATTCTTTAATATAGATTATCAGAAAAAGGAGTGGTCAGCAAATACAAAGGCAAATGGATCCAGATGCTATAGAGTTAATCCAAGTCTGGAGCAGTCATCAGTCACCAGAGTGCCTGAAAAAGTCCAGTCAGTTTGAACCTACTTCCCACAGATGTCATCTACTACAAATATCTAAGTTTGTGGGAGCGCTTAGGTGAAGAAATGGAAATGAACCTGACAGAAATATTTTAACTGGCTGCCATGAGTTTCTTAATCATAAAGCATTCACATCTAAATACCAAAGACCAGATGTTATTTGTGGAAATTCATCTGACCTAATGCTCATTATTCTTTCCAATCCTAATAATTATTAATAAAATATATGCATTTTGTTTGCATAAAGTTTATTGTTATCATAATTGAATACTGAATGTTTCTTAGATACAGAATCTAAGTCCAATGATCAAGCTTTTGAATTCTACACACTCATGGGTTTTAAAAGCATAAACAAAGTCAAATGTCTGTACATGGAAATTGTGAGTAATACCATCCCATTTTGAATGGTACTGAAATACCAGTACTTCTGAAAAATGTTATGGTTAACTATATGGGAAACTATGTTTTCTTGATTATGAAGGTATATTTGTATCAAGTGGCCTGTTAGGTAAATGTAATATGCAATGATGAACTACATTTATTTTAGGCCCACATTTATTATAACATTCTATATTATAATAAAGTATATATTAAAATATATATCAAACTATGCCTGTGACATACATATGTAATACAAGATTAATGTGTATATACTATATAATACAGTCATATGATTATCAAATTGTTAAAAACAAACAAAAAAATTATACTTATAGATGGACAGAATAACTTTCTTTTATTTATATGTGGTGCTAAGGATCGAACCCACTACCTCACACATGCCAGGCAAGAGCTCTGTCACTGAGCTACAGCCCCAGCCCCCAGCTTGCACTTTTATTTATTTATTTGGTGTGGGGGGGACCCGGGATCGAATTCAGGGACCTCAACCACTGAAACACATCCTCAGCCCCATTTTGAATTTTATTTAGAGACAGGATCTTACTGAGTTGCTTAGTGCCTCGCTGTTGCTGAAGCGGGCTTTGAACAGGCAATCCTTCTGTCTCAGCCTCCCAAGCTGCTGGGATTACAGGCATGTGCCACCACACTCGGCCAGATTGCACTTTTTTTTTTTTAAACATTTTTTAGTAGCAATTGGACACCATACCTTTATTTCATTTATTTACTTTTATATAGTGCTTACAATCAAACCCAGCGCCTCACATGTGCTACTGCTGAGCCACAACCCCAGCCCCCAGCTTGCCCTTTTAAACTGTTAGGTCAGTGGAGATCTCAAAATTCCTCCCCCAAATTCCGAAAAGCTCCCAAAGCTTCTGAACCACATGGTCAGGTTAGTCAAAGAATAACCCCACTCTTGGTACTACTTTCTGTTTTAGTCGGCTTTTTCACTGCTATGATTAAAAGATCCTATAAGAACAAGTTTAGTGGAGGAAAACTTTATTTGGGGGCCCACAGTGCTAAGGTCTCTGTCCACAGGCAGCTGGCTCCATTTGAGTTGAAGCTGAACATCATGGCAAAAGAGTGTGGCAGAGGGAAGCAGGTCACTTGATGATCAGACAGCAGGGAGAGAGAGACTGCATTCTCCAGATACAAATTACAAGGCTGGGTACAGCACTTGGTACAGCATTTGCCTAATATGCATGGGGCACTGGGTTCAATCCTCAGCACCACATTAAAAAAAATACTAAATAAAGTTATTGTATTCATCTACAACTAAAAAAACAAGAACAAAAAACAAACTACATACCCCAAAGGCACACCCCTAGGGACCCACCTCCTCCAGCCACACCCTACCCATTTATAGTTAGTACTCAGTTAATTCCTATCAGGGGATTAATTTACTAATTAGGTTAAGACTCTCATAACCCAATCATTTCACCTCTAAACTTTCTTGCACTGTTTCATAAATGAGCTTTTTAATATAAATAATATATATTGTACTGTGTTTTAGACTGCACAATATCATCTGTATACATATATTACATATTATACTGTATTATAAATTTCATAAAATCTGTAATTTATATAATTATAAAGTATAGTTATGTAATATATAAGACAGTATGTAGGATGAACAACCCTGATCTGAAAATTCAAAATCTGAGAAGCTATGAAATCTGAAATACTCTGAAATCCAAACTTTTTGGTTGCTGATATGATGGTCAAAAATTTTGGATTTTGGATTTTCAGATTAAGGGCGCTCAACCAATAAAGTCTATGCAAATATTCTAAAAAACAAAAACAAAAAAAACCTCAATGGGCATGTGTTATATACCTGTAATCCCAGCAATTTGGGAAGCTTACGAAGGAGGATTACAAATTTGAAGCTAGTTTCAGAAATTCAGTGGGCCCCTGTCTCAAAATTAAAATAAATAAACTCATAAACCTGAAACACTCTGATCCCAAGCACTTTGATAAGGTATACACAACATATATTGAATATTGCAATTTACTCTGAGATCTATGGAAAGAGTCTCAATTGCTACCTTGGAAATTCAGTTAATGATAGGAAGTGAATCTGTGGGAAGGTCAAGTATAAGCATATACAATTGTATAAACATATATAATTATATAAGCATATATAATATCATGTATTGCTTATATAAAGTATAATATAGATTAAAATTTAGTACATATATTAAGTTAAAATGTAACATGTATCTCTGGACTCATACCATATGCATCTTGAGCCTATTTTTTTTTTTTTACTTAATATATTGGAGAACTTTTCAAATCAGTATGTATAGATATAACCCATTCATTTTCATGGCTATATGGTATTCCTTTGAATTCATTTTCTGTGGTTTTTTTTTTTTTTTGTGTGTGTGTGTTGGAGAACTTTTCAAATCAGTATGTATAGATATAACCCATTCATTTTCATGGCTATATGGTATTCCTTTGAATTCATTTTCTGTGTTTTTTTTTTTGTGTGTGTGTGTGTGTGATACTAGGAATTGAACTAGCCCTCTTAATCTTTTATTTATTTATCTATTTATTTATTGGTACTATAGGCACTTTACAGCAAAGCTACATCCCCAGTCCTTTTTATTTTTCATTTTGAGACAGGGTCTTACTACATTGTTGAGGGTCTAAATTGCTGAGGATGTTCTCAAACTTGTTATGCTCAAACTCAGGTTCCCAAATTGTTGGTATTACAGACATAAGTTGCACCTGGCTTAAAATGTGAGATTCTTTTTTTTTTCTTTAATAAAAAAATTCTTAAGTTTTAGGTGGACACAATATCTTTATTTTACATTTATGTGGTGCTGAGGATCGAACCCAGTGCCTCTGAGCCACAACCCCAGCCCCAAAATGTGAGATTCTTTATAGTTTGTTTATTACATTAAGAGTACTTATTTTGCAGCATAAATCACTAATGCGTGATTGCAATATGTTTCCCCAGAACCCCCAGTGGAGGGTATTTCATAACATACAGGGTACCTTCTGCATTTCTTGTGAAAAATCTGAAAAGTTCTAAATTCTGAAACGGCTGGAGTCTTTAAACTTTAGTTGATCTAGGAAACAGACAATTTTAATTTTTAAACCACTTAACGTTTTAAGGCATGATTGCATCTTGTGAACTTGTGTTAACCTCTTTGCACTGTCCAATTCAATAGCACTAGCTACGTAGGGTTCTTGGGTTAATCAGAACTGAGATGGAGTGTGCACAACCGGGTTTTAAAATTTTTGTAGGAAAAAAACAAAGCTAAATATTTCACTAACTTTACTTGTTACATGATGAAATAATATTCTGAATATGCTGATTTAAACATATTATCAACATGTGTGCCTTCCATTATACGTAATACCAGGGATTAAACACAGGTAGGTACGCTTAACCATTGAGCCACATACCTAGCCCTTTTTGTTTTTGTTGTTGTTGTTGAGACAGGGTCTACACTAAATTCTTAGGGACTCGCTAAAATGCTGAGACTGGATTTGAACTTGTGATTTTCATGCCTCAGCCTCACCAAGCCGCTGGGATTACAGGAGTGTGCCACCGCACCTGCCTGGCAGGGCTATTCTTTATCTAAACCAGTATCATTCCCACCCCTACGCAATGAGGATTTGACCTGCAGGTTTATAAGTAATCCAGGGGTCCAAAGGGCTAAATTGAGCTACGTGCTCTTGACAAGTTCAGGCTGCCAAGTTTTGTCTTGTTTTCTGTTTTATTGTTTTTAAACTTTGTTTTTGTTTTTCAATGTTAAAACAGTTACAAAGACAAAGAAATAAAAATAAACCCAGAACTCCTACAATTCGCGTTTTCTGTAAATTTGGCCAAACCACACCCCTTCCTACACCTTCCGGCGTCTGCGCAGAGACGTAATGAAGTTTGTCCCGCGTTGCTGTCCGTCCGCTCTCAAGCTTTTCTGCGTACGCGTGTTCCCGGGTTCTGGGTGACGGTAATGGCGTTCCTGTGTCAGCGGGACAGCTACGCCCGGGAGGTGCGGCCTTTTGGGAGGGGGATCTGATGCTGCCCCACCGACAGGGCGGTTTGGGGAAGAGGGTGTGAAGATAGGCTTCAGTCTCCGAGTGGAGAAGGCTTGGAGTTTATTTTCTTATCTCTCTCTGCCCAGTTCGTCACCACCGTGGTCTCCTGCCAGCCGGCGGAGCTGCAGACCGATGGGAGCAACGGCAAGAAAGAAGCGCTGAGCGGTTTCCATGTGGTGTTGGAAGACACGCTGCTTTTCCCTGAGGGTGGGGGACAGGTACCAGGCTTGTCCCCTCAACCTGACCCAGTAAACCCCTAATTTCTTCGTCCTTCGGATGGAAAATGCTTTCCTGTCCTTCTTAGCTGTAATTAATTCAGAAGGACATTACTTCAATTCACTTTATTATTCATTTAACTTTTTTTAAACCAACATACCTAGATACAACACAGTATTATTCCAGTCTCCAAAGATAAAGGGGAACGAGACAGTGTGTTTGCATACACACTAGAGATAACCATTGCCCAGGCACAAATAATGTAAATAAAAATAAAGCCAAGTAAAGGGAGTGATAGGATGCTTTCCTGAATAGGAGGCAAATTATTTCAGTATAGTCCTAAATGAAGGGAGGAGTGACCATTACAGTTATCTATCTGATGTTGCTGGGAAAGGGCTAAGATTCTAGGCATAAAGTACAAAGGCCCTAGGTGAGAATTAGCATAGTATGCGTGACAGGGACAGAAAAAGAAGCCCCTGAGGAGTTCAGGAAAGGTAGATGGGTTACAGTAGCAAAATAGAGAACAGCCATTTCTGTGTACTATTGGAGTAGAGACTAAGGTGTGAACACAAAGTAGGTAGGTACATTGTAGCCCTGTGCAGTGGAGCACTTGAGTAATTTCCCCTACTGGGAAGGCTGAAGTAGGAGGATCCCTAATTTGAGGCCAGCCTCAGCAATTTATGAAGACCTTGTTTCAAAATTTAAAAATAGGACTGAGATGCTGGGCATGGGGTGCAAGCCTGTAATCTTAGAGACTCAGAATTCCAAGGCAGTAGGATCAAAATGTCAGTATAACTCAGGATTCCAAGGCAGAAGGATCAAAAGTTCAAGGTTAGCTTGGGCAAATGAGAGAGACCCTGTCTGAAAAGAAAGGGCTGGGGATATGGCTTAGTGGTAGAGTGCTCCGGGTTCAATCTCCACTACTAAAAAAAAGTAAAAGCTGGATTGTATCTTAGAAGTAAAGTGCTACTGGGTTCAATCTCAGTACCACAAAAAAAAAAAAAAAAAGGTAGATTGTGACACAGAAGATTAGAACAGTAACACCAAAGGTTGGCATTATAGAAGAGATTTTTCTAGCAGGAATAATATTATAAAGGCAGCAAAGGCTGAAAGAATTTAAGTCTCTTTAGTCATACATAGTCTAATATGTTTGGACCCTTTAGGGTATGTTGATGACAGGCTAGAGATGATATTGATAAATTTATTGGTTCTTACATAGAGAGGTAACATGGGATCTGGGGTTGTAGTACAGTGGTAGAGTGCTTGCCTAGCACTGAGTTTGATTCTCAGTACCACATATTAAAAAATAAATAAATAATAAAAGATCCATCAACAACTAAAAAATATTTTTACAAAAGAAGTGACATGAGATCACGTTTAGTAGACTTGCAAGTGAGAAAGTTTCAGTTTCATATTAGTGTCATCATTATAGTAATTTTTTTCAACATGGAGGTTTCCTGATCTGCTAAAGGAAAATCTGTAACTTCAGGTATCTGTAGAAGGTCTTGTTTTAGACATCCCCGATTTCTTTCAGGAAATCCTCCTTAATACCCCAAGACTTAGGTCTCTTTCTTTTCAGCTTCTCTAACACCAAGTATATTTAAATTCTTTGGCAATTTGTAGATCTTATTGCAATTGACTGCATGTCTGTGTTCTTCTGTAGACTCTTAAATTCCAGGAGGGATCCCTATTGTTTACATTGTATTCTTGGGCTGGCACAGTATCATAAGTACTTGGTACTTTTCTAAATGAATGAATATTGTTGAATTTAATTCTAGCAGCAGTGCAAAAGATGGAATGGTGGGAGGGTGGGAAATTCACATAATTTTAGAGACTATTAAAGATAAAAATTTAGGCTGGGCATAGTGGCCCATGCCTATAATCCCAGTGACTCAGGATCTTGGGGCAGGAGGATCGTAAGTTCAAAGCTAGCCTCACCAACTTATGCCCTGTCTCAAAATAAAAATATGAAAAAGGACTGTGGAAGTGGAGTGGTTAACACCCCTGGGTTCAATTCCTGGTACCAAAAAAGGAAAAAAAAAAAGGAATTTGGTACATACCTATAATGCCAGTGATTCAGGAGGCTGAGGCAGAAGGATTGCAAGTTTGAGGCCAGTCTCAACAAATTAGGCCCTAAGCAACATGGTGAGACCCTGTCTTAAAAAATAAAAAAGACTGGGGATATAGCTCAGTAAGTGTCCCTGGGTTCAATCCCTCATTAAAAAAACAAAAACAGGCTGGGGATACAGCTCAGTTGGTAGAGTGCTTGCCTTGCGTGCACAAGGCCCTGGCTCTTCAATCCCCAGCACCACAAACAACAACAACAACAATAATAATAGTAATAATAATAATAAACACTAAACGGTGAAAACAGGATAAAGTTTCTTTGGGTTTTACTAAAAATCAAAAATCTTTTTTGCTATACTTACAGTCTCTTTCTGTTTGAATTCTATTACTCTGTCCTGAAAAATAAAATATATGTGTTCAGAGTAAGGAGGACAGAGAATCCTTTTGGAATAAAGTGGGCCTACCTCATTGGGCATTGCCTTCTCCTCCTTTAAGGAGGTCAAATTTAGGGTCTGTCTCTCATAAACTTTCCCTAGAGAGTCTTTGTATCTATGAGGTATGGTGAGCCCTGTCTTCTCCTTGATTACTTCTTTTCCCCAGCCTGATGACCGTGGTACAATCAATGACATCTCTGTACTGAGAGTGACCCGCCGGGGAGCCCAAGCTGATCATTTCACACAGACACCTCTGGCCCCTGGGAGCCAGGTTCAGGTCCAGGTTGACTGGGAGCGGAGGTTTGATCACATGCAGCAGCATTCAGGTAAGTGAGGCAGGATGGGGGACATCTGGAGGTGCAGTTGACATGTATGAGACTGTCATGATTATTTGAGATGCGGTTTGGATTCTCTAGGAGTTAACCTTTTGGAAGAGACAGAATCAGCTCTGATTCAGGCAGAATATTATATGTTTTAAAAGCAAAATGAACAATTTAAGTAAAAATATCAGACTAATTGCTGGTTCTAAGTATTACCAATTTCCAACTTGATATTTCTACCTGAATGTCTCACAGGCTTTTCAAACTCAAAATGTCCATCCTTGTTTTCCATCAGGATCCTGTATGTTTAGTCCTGGGTTTCTGTGTCTACTATGCCTGGCTGCATAAAGTTTTTCAAAGGCTTCCTTTAGTTCTTTGTGTAAAGCCAAATTTCAAATCCTAGAATTTGTTCCAGATGCTCTTTTGGGGATAGCTAATCAATCACTAAGTTCTTTTGGTTTGTCTTCTAAATATCTTTTCACTTTGTTCCATTGTCAAAGTAATCATCCTAGATCCAATTTTCACTGTCTTGGCCCTAGACCTTTGCACATTCAATTTTTCTCTGCCCTACCCTGTTTTCCACACAGCAATCAGAACAACCTTTGTTGTTTTTTTTGTACTAAGGATTGAACCCAGGGTCTTCCACATAGTACAGAGCAATCTGTTTTATTTTTATTTTTTCAGGGTACTAGGGATTGAACCCAGGGGTGCTATAACACTGAGGTATATTTCCAACCCTTTATTTTTCTATATTTTAAAAAATTTGAGACAGGGTCTCGGTAAGTTGCTGAGGCTGTCCTTGAATTTGCCATTCCCTTGGCTTGGCTTCCCAAGTCACTGACTGGGATTATAGGTGTTCACTCCAGGCTACAGAATAGTCTTAAAAAAGAAAATGTAGGGCTGGGATTGTATGTAGCTCAGTGGTAGAGAGCTTGCCTTACACGTATGAGGCACTGGGTTCAATCCTCAGCACCACATAAAAAATAAATAAAGTTATTGTGTCCATTTACAACTAAAATATATATATTTTTTTTTTTTTTTAAAGGAAATGTGGTTGTGTCAATCCTTTGATTAAAGTTTTCTTTTCATTTATTTTTTCTTTGGGGTGGGAGTGATGTTAGTGGGGATTGAAGCCAGGACTGCACCACTGAACTATATCCCTAACCTGTTTTATTTTTTATTTTGAGAAAGGGGCTTGCTGATCCTCCATGCGCCACCATGCCGGCTGCTTAAAGTTTTTCAAAGGCTTCCTTTAGTTTTTTGTGTAAAGCCAAATTTCTCATGGCCTACAAATCTCTGCTGTGGCTGCCCTTATCTACTGCTCTAGCCTCATCTGGTACCTCTCTCCCTCTTGCGCTATATAACCCAGGAGTGCTTTACCATTGAGTTATATCCTCAGCCCCCCTTTTTAAAATTTTTTTAAAATTTTGAGACAGTGTCTCATTTTGTTGCTTAGGGCCTTACTAAGTTGCTGAGGCTAGCCTTGAACTTGTGATCTTCCTGCCTCAGCTTCCTGGATTGCTGGGATTACAGGTGTGTGCCACTATGCCCAAATGGTATTGGGGGTTGAATGCAGGCCTTGCACATGCTAGGCAAATGCTCTACCATTGAGCTATATCCCCAATCCTATTTTATCTATCTATCTATTTTTTTGAGGTGCTTGGGTTTGAACCCAGGGCCTTGTGCATATGAGGGAAGCACTGTACCAACTGAGCTACATCCCCAGCCCATATTGTATTTATTTTTTAATTATTGTTATTATTATTATTTTTGGCAGTGCTGGGGATTGAACCCAGGGCCTTGTGCATGCAAGGCAAGCACTGTACCAACTGACCTATGTCCCTAGCCCAATTATATTTTATTTTGAAACAGAGTCTTGCTTTGCCCAGGCTGGCCTCCCTTTGTTAGCCTTCCAAGTGGCTAGGATAACAGCCATGTGCCACCAGGCCCAGCTTCTTCAAGGGCTTTGACTGTCTTGTTCCTTCTTCCTTCATAGTTAATTCTTTCTCCTCTTCTTTCTCCTCTCTTTCCTTGTCACTATCATCAATTAAGAATGCTGCTGCATCTCTGATGTCAAGCCCTGTACTTTGCATGTGGAAGGTACTCAGTAAATATATGTTGAATGAATGAATATTACACATTGAATTTGAATTCAAATCCTGCTATGTTGCCTTGGCAGATTCTTGTGAAATAGCATGATAAAACATCTTGTAGAATTCTTGTGATGATTTTCAATAAAATATCTAAAGTGATTAACCGGGTATTCAACAAGGAGAATTTCTGTGATATATCATTTTGGGAATATGTGGCTGTCTGGGTTTTTCATTTTTCTCGTGTCTCTTGCTCCACTTGCTTAGGGCAGCATCTCATCACAGCAGTGGCCGACAATCTGTTTGGGTTGAAGACAACATCATGGTGAGCAGGAGGCATGGGACTAACTGTAGGGCATTGATACTAGCTAGGTCTATTCCCTATAATAGGTTGGGAATAGGAGGATAAAAGAAAGGGTAATCTTCAGAATTGGCTGTGTTCTCGTGTTGTTAAAGATTGGGTGGAGGATTGACCTGTGTTTTTTAATGGTGAGAGAAGAGACATCTGCCTTTGCTTGGGAAAGAACATGGACTTTGAAGCTCAGAGATCTAGAGGGTGAACCCACCCCCTACCACATACTGGCAGCATGACTTTGATTGTATTTCTTGTCAACCTTTACACCCATAAAGTAGGAATGACAATTCCCTACCTTGAGGGATTTTTGTGAGGATTAAATAAAATAATTTATATGAGCATTCTTTTGCAAACTTTTTTTTTTTCCCCCATATTAGGGATTGAATCCAGGGCCTCACACATGCATGCTTTACTGCTGAGCTACATCCTTAGTGCTTTCTATTTTTTGAGACAAAGTCTTGCTAAATTGGCCAGCCTGCCCTCAAATTTATGATTCTCCTACTCTAGTCCCCTGAGTAGCTGGGATTAAATAGATATGTGCCACCATGCCCAGGACTTTGTAAACTTTATTGTTGTAACATCCTGTGACCACTCGCTCTCTTCTGGCAGGGAGTTGGGGAGACACCGGAGTGTAATTGAGCTGGACAGCCCCTCTGTGACTGCAGAACAAGTAGCTACAATTGAGCAGTGTGTCAATGAAAAAATCAGAGATCGGTTGCCTGTGAGTGTGCAAGAACTGAGCCTGGATGATCCTGAGGTGGAGAAGGTGAGGGGAGAGGCAGGGGCCTGGCTTCTGTTGAATGGCTTTCCAAGGTCTCATCAAAATTCTGACAGCTCTTCTCTCTCCCCTCTATTCCAGGTGAGAGGCCGGGGATTACCAGATGATCATGCTGGACCCATTCGAGTTGTTACCATTGAGGGTGTTGATTCCAACATGTGCTGTGGGACTCATGTAAACAATCTCAGTGACCTTCAGGTAGGTGTGGAAGGACTGTTGAGTGGTTTCAGGAGAGATTATTGGGGCCTAGGGGATTACAACAGGGCTGGGAATGGTAGAGGGGTCAATTAAGGAGTCCTAAATGGAATCTTCTTCATTGCTTTAGAGCTGGGGAGGAGTTCTAGGTCTCTTCTGTCCCCAGGTCCCAAGACCCACTGTGGTTTATCCATGTTTGTGTGTGTTATCCCCTTCATGTAGGTCATAAAGATTCTGGGTACTGAGAAGGGGAAAAAGAACAAAACCAACCTGATATTTCTGGCTGGGAACCGGGTGCTGAAGTGGATGGAGAGAAGTCATGGAACTGAAAAGGCACTGACCACTCTGCTTAAGTATGTCCCCTTTAGTTGCTTCCCATTCCTCAGGTTCTGGACACCTTGGGGCTTAGCTCTCCTATCTAAGATAGACAGATCAAGTTCTTACTTCTAGGAAATAAGATGCAGCCATAAACAATAAAGTGCTTTGGATAATAAACCAGAGCCACACAAAATGGTTTGTTCCCTTGTATCCTTTCTCCCACTTGCCTAAGGGGACTCCTCAAAATATTCCCAGGTCCCTATTAGGCATCATTAATTTATACCCCTAATGTTGGATAACCAGTTTGGCTGGTCTCCATTGACCTTTCTTTGCAGGTGTGGAGCAGAAGATCATGTGGAAGCAGTGAAAAAGCTCCAGAACTCCTCCAAACTCCTACAGAAGGTGATTTATTCTTTAGAGAGTGAAAAGGGCCTAGGATTTGCCTATAATAGACTCCAGACAGCCCCGGGCCTAAGCAGGGGGCTTAGATGGAGTTTGTAGAAGGGGATAGTGAAGGGAGAATGAGGTGGAAGAAAGTTGGTGTTCTCTTGTGTTATCCTTTTTATCTGTCTACTTATCACATCCATTTCAGAATAACCTGAATCTTCTCAGAGACCTGGCTGTGCACATTGCTCATTGTCTCAGGAATAGCCCAGACTGGGGAGGCGTGGTCGTACTACACAGGTAAGAAATTAGGAGCTAGAGAGAATGCAGAAGGCTGTGTTGGGCTTCGGCTCAGCATCTCCCCTGTGTGCAGGGCACAGTAGGAGGTGGGTTGCTCACTGGTATCCTCAAGGCTGAATAGACCCGTAGGCCCTAAAGAAACCATAGCAACTTTACTGTAACTTTATAATTTTCATTAACACCTTCCCTCTCTTCCTTCACCAGCTAATAGATCTCTTATTCTGGTGAATCCTATTTAAGGGAGACAAAAACAAATGCTTTCCTTATTTCTGAATTGCTAAGGCTGAGAAAGATATTTTGGTGGCCTTTGGTCAGAACTCTCTCTTTGCTAAGGGGTCTGGGACATAACATGCTGAAACAGGCAGCAGTGAGACCAGCCTCATGAGGAGCCAGGCTTCCTGCAGTTTTACAGCAACCACTCCAGCCTGGATCTTATGTCTGTGTCCTTTGTCCTAGGAAGGAGGGCGATTCTGAGTTCATGAATATCATTGCCAATGAAATTGGGTCAGAGGTAAGAGGAATATGAGATTCTCTACTCTGCCCTAAGTAGAGACCTAGGGACATACAACTGAGGAGTATTAATTTAGCTGAAGTTCCCCCAGATTAACACTTGAAGAGTAGGGAACAGAAATTCATTCAGTACTATTTTGTTAGCACTATATCTTAGGAACCAAGCTCTGTTTTAGGTGTTGAGTTACATCTATGCTCTTAATCTTTCTGGGACTATGACATTTATCAGCTTCTGCGCTCCTTTTATCTGAGCTTTAGCTTCACAGAGCCATCCGATTTGTGTGTGCTGAAATATAGGGTAGCTGGATGTGGTGGTACATGCCTGTAATCCCAGATACTCAAGAGGCCGAGGTGGGAGGATTGCAAGTTTAAGGCCAGCCTCAACAATATAGGTAGACCTTGTCTCAAGAAAAAGAGTGGGGGTGGTTTGACAAGCCTTTTAAAGGCAATCCCACCCATGTTGTTCTGCTTCTGGCTTCACTTACTCTTCCTTATTCTGACAGTCTATAGCTTAGAGATCGTAAAGTCTCTGTTTCACAATAACTCTAAAACCTTTTTTTGGAATACCTTCTGTGGGTCAAGCATTGTATATTTCTCTCTTCATAATTCTTCTGTGTGGACAGTACTGATTCTTAAGGGGCTCACATTCTAGTGTGGGAGACAAATGTGTTTATCCACGTTTATAATTTGAATGATAAATACCAGATGCAGCAGGGCGCAGTGGCTCATGCCTGTAATCCCAGTGGCTCAGGAGGCTGAGGAAGGAGGATTGCAAGTTCAGAGCCAACCTCAGCAAAAACAAGAGGCTAAGGCAACTCAGTGAGACCCTGTCTCTAAATAAAATACAAAATAGGTCTGGAAATGTGGTTCAGTGATTGAGTGCCCCTGAGTTCAATCACTGGTACCCCAAAACCAAAAAAACACAGAGGCAAAAGAGCACATTATCTGAAAGGATGGGAAGGCTACAGTGGAGGAGCCTTGAAGATTGCTTAGAGGTCATCAGACAGACAAGGGAGCAGAGGCAGCCAGGCAGAGGAAAACATGATGATTTAGGCAGTAGCAGCCCAGGGTGCTTGGTGGGCAGAAGGTTGGAGAGTTGATGGGAGTCAAACTGTTAGAAATACCAAGGTGCTGAGGTGGGAATGTGACTCAGTGGTAGAGTGCTTGCCTGGCATACATGAAGCCCTGGGTTCAAGTCCCAGCACTGCAAAAAAAAAAAAAAAAAAAGACATACCAAGGTGCTTCATGAAATAAAATGTGCTCAAAAGAAGACAGCAAAAATTGCTCTTCTGCAGAAGGGTGTGCCCCCAGAAGGAATCTTGAGGGGCAAGTACACTTGTGTGGGGAGTCCCCCTGCTTTTGTCCCTAATGAAGTACTGTCCCTTGCTCTGATAGAACAGTTCAGGGTTATAATCTATACATTAGCTAATTTTAAAATGGTAGTGGGGTGGGGGAAAGGGATAGGCTGTAATAAAAATGGCTACAGTTGGATCCAATTAAGGCTAAATGCTATATTCTGAAAATGGACTACTGAACTTTCTTTTTCATAAGACCACAAAAGGCATATTATGCTTGGTCCTGGTCACCAGCTTTCTGCCTCCTACTTAATGATTAGCATAAATATTTTACTCTCAAAAAGTTTCTTGGCATTAGTGAAAAAGGTGTGGAGGGGCTGCATCATCATTCATCAGCAGCATCACTGGTGGTTTAAGGGGAGATATCTGTTTTTTGGGTTTTGTTTTTTGTTTGCTTGCTTTGTAACTGGTAATTGAACTCAGAGGTACTTTACCACCAAGCCACATCTTAGGTATGCATCACTGTGCCTGTCTGATGGGAGATATCTATCCTTGGAGACAGGAAAGTCCAGGGTTTAGGGGAGTTGACCTCACATATGCTCACCTCTTTGCTTTACCTCCTAGGAGACCCTCCTCTTCCTAACTGTGGGAGATGAGAAAGGTGCTGGGCTCTTCTTACTGGCAGGGCCAGCGGAGGCTGTGGAAACCCTGGGGCCCAGGTAATGCTATATAGGTTCTGATGCTACATGGACTTTCTTGTGTGAGAGGAAGAACATGTAAGCTACTAATTTAATAATACTGCCCTGTACCTGTTAATAGGGTTTTCATATCTGCCATCTCCTTGATTTATATTGTAGACACGTGAGGTATGCTGAGCGGAGATGTTATCACCACTACCACTCCTGGTTTGACAGATGAGGCACCTTGTATCATGTGCCTGAGGTCTCACAGTTAAAGTGGCAGAACTGAGAGTTGCACCCAGCTCATTTGGCTCCAAATTTCCTGTGCTTATATATTTTCTTTTAGAAATTTAGATTCCAGTTGGACAAAGAGGCAAACACCTGTAATCCCAGCTACTCAAGAGGTCAACCTCAGCAATTTAGCAAAACCAGTCTCAAAAAATAAAAAGGGCTGGAGATATAGCTTAGGAATAGAGTGTCCCTGGGGTTTAATTCCCAGCACTGTAAAATAAACAAACAAACAAATAAATAAATAAGTAGAAAAAAAAATGAGAACTTTGTTGGACTTCTTTACCCTTGTAAAGAAGTTTATGTTTCTATTTTAAATTATGTATAGATTATAACCCAAAATCTTTCTGGCATTTGGGGTTTTCAGAGTCCTTACTAGCTCTGGAATATGTGTTCATCAAAAACATTGAAGGACCATGTAAGAATTTATAGTAGAGATTAGTAACAGGCAGCCTTATGTGGCATACAGACTACTTTGGCCTGGCCTTGTGAAGTGTTTTAAATTTTCAGATTAGTTGCTACTTTTTTTTTTTGTACTGGGGTTTGGATGTAGGGGTGCTTAACCACTGGGCTTCATCCCCAGTCCTTTTCTGTATTTTATTTTGAGACAGGTCTCACTAAGTTGCTGAGGTTGGCCTTGAACTTTTGATCCTGCCTCAGCCTCACAAGTCATTGGGGATTACAGGCATGCACCACTACACCCAGCAGTAACTCTGGGTCCACACACCTACATGATAGTAGCTATGAGGAACTGAACTGCCATACTCCCCAGATAGCACATACTCTCCAGTTTGCCACCATCCCCACCTCCCTCCTAGCTGTGTCACTGCTGCTCCCCACAGCAACCCCTTGTCCCTAGTATATACTCATCCTGCTCCCTGGAGATTACCATAATTTATTTTGCTTCCATGTATATACATGTTTCCAGTTATTTGTTTTTCTTTTTTTTTTGTGTGTGTGTGTGTGTGTGTAATTCTGGGACAGTTATTTACTGTTATAGCATACTTGGTACATATCGTGTACATGTACAAGTATTATGAATTTTTTTAACTCTTTAAATTGACATTGACATATATGTTTATGGCATATAGTGTGATAATACAGGTATTCAATGTGTGATTGATCAAATCAGAGTAATTAGTGTTTCCATAACTCTAAACTTTTATAATTTCTTTTGGGAAACTTAGAACTCCCCTCTTCTGGTGCAAGTTTTTTTTTTTTGTGTGTGTGTGTGAGTGTGTGTGTGTGCAAGTATTTTTTTTTTATTTTTGGTGATCCTAGGGTTAGAACCCAGGGCCTTGTACATGCCAGGCAAGCACTCTACCAACTGAGTGATAGTCCCAGCCCTGTGCAGGTGTTTTTAAGAAGGGCTTCTAGAAATTATTATTTTTCCTCCCCTAGGTCCCAGGGCCGCCCTTGTGTTTTTGTGTTTTTTTCCCTCAAAGACCAGCTCTCTGACTGCATCTCTGTTCCTCAGGGTGGCTGAGGTCCTGGAAGGCAAAGGAGCAGGGAAGAAAGGCCGCTTCCAGGGCAAGGCCACCAAGATGAACCGGCGGGCAGAGGTGCAGGCGCTTCTACAGGACTATGTCAGCACGCAGAGCGCTGAGGAGTGAGAACTCAGAGTGCCCACTCCCTCTGACCATGGAAGGAGTCTCTTGGACAATAAAATAATGTGACTCAAAATGGTTCTATTACCACTTAAATTTATATGACTAATTTGTACAGAATCCTTCAGTGTGCTTGTGTGATTAGCATCTGTTTGTGAATAAACAGTTTTCTGATTTGGTGCCTATTAGGCATAACCTACATGAGTGGGCATTATGTTGATGACATGTGCTAATTTGTCTAAGCCTAGCTGAAACCTTTGTTTTTTTGAGAAACATATTGTCTACAGAGAATACAAGTCAGTCTAAGGCTTTATCCATGACTTAGTCTCATTCATATCTCCTTGATTGCTTTTCTTTCTTTCTTTCTTTTCTTTTTTTCCAAATATTTGTTTACTTGTATTTTGGTACTGGGGATCAAACATAGGGCCTTGTGCATACTAAGCACATGCTCTGCCACTGAACTACACCCCTAGTCTTCTATTTTTTTTTTCTTATTCTTTGCTAGCATTGTAATTTAGAACTAAAAGGTATCAATGACTTTGCAAATATGTCATGAAATCACAAAACTGTGAAGTAGTAAGGTGCTGTTAGTCTAGAAAAGGATATATCTTGCACAATACAAAGACAGCTTGTGTGGCAATATTAATATTAGACAAATTCAACTTTTTAAAAAATATTTATTTTTTAGTTGTAGTTAGATACGATATCTTTATTTTATTTATTTTTATGTGGTGCTAAGGATCGAACCCGGGGCCTTGCACGTGCTAGGCAAGCACTCTACCGCTGAGTCACAATTCCAGCCCTGGACAAACTCAACTTTAAGGCAAGGATTATTATTAGAGATCAAGAGGGACTTGTAATGATAAAAGAAAGTTCTGAGGCTGGGGTTGTGGCTCAGAGGTAGAGCCCTCATCTAGCATGCAGAGGTACTGAATTCAATCCTCAGCACCATATAAAAACAGAGGTGTTATGTCCACCTACAACAACAACAACAAAAAAATATTAAAAAAAAGTTCTAAATTTGTAGGCTTTTTGTTGTTGTTGTTGGTACTGAGGATTTAACCCAGGGCACTTTATTTTCAGACGGTCTCAAGTTGCTTAGGGTCTAAGTTGCTGAGGCTGGCCTTGAACTTGGAACCCTTCTGCCTCAGCCTTCTGAGCTGCTGGGATTACAGGTGCATGCCACTGCACCTGGCCTAAATTTGTACACATCTAATAGCCTTACAATATATAAAGCAGACATTGACAGATCTCAAAGGAGAAATTAAGTAATAACAGTTAATTGAAAATGTAAAGTCATTTTCAGTAACTGATAGAACAAGAGAAGCATAATGTCATGGTTAAGAGTCTTGCTAAATTGCCCAGGCTTGCCTCAAATTTTTGATCCTCCTGAGTAGCTTAGACAAACTCTGAATATTTAGGAGCAAAATAGGGGTGTTGAGGATATAGCTTAGTGGTAGAGTGCTCCTGGGTTCAAAAAAGGTAGTGAAGTCTAAGAGTGAAATGGGGATGTGGCCCAGTGGTAGAACAACAGTCATAAACCTGGATTTTGACAGGCAATCCTGGATGTCTGGTTTCTGCCAAGATAATTCCTGAGCTTCAATTACTTGACCTGAAAAGGTAGATATGAACATAGTGTCCTAAGAAAGAAGGAACACTCTGAAATAACTAGGAAAAGACAAACACTTGAACAGATTTTGTGGAAGTGGTAATTGTATGAAGAAAGGAAAAATTAAGCAGCAATTTTTGAACTGATGATGTCATTTCAGGCCTATCATAGGAATAGTTTGTCAGTGTGTGTGTTCAGGAAAGGGAGTGAATTGTCTTTTTATTTGCTATACTGGGGATTGAAGCCAGGGATACTCTGGCACTAAGCTTCATCCTCAGCTCTTTATTTTTTTATACCTTTATTTTACTTATTTACGTGGTGTTGAGGATCGAACCCAGTGCCCCACACATGCAAGGCAAGCACTTTATCACTGAGCCACAACCCCAGCCCATCAGATTTTTATTTTTTATTTTGATACAGGGTCTCACTAAATTGTCAAGGTTAGCCTCCTCCCTCAGCCTCCTCCCTCAGCCTCCTGAATTGCTGGGATTACAGGCAAGCACCTGGGTGTTTGTTTGTTTGTTTGTTTGTAATATTTATTTTTTAGTTGTAGCTGGACACATTACCTTTATTTATTTTTTGTGTGATGCTGAGGATCAAACCCAATGCCTCACACGTGCTAGGCGAATGCTCTATCACCGAGCCACAACCCTAACCCTGGGGTGTTTTCTTTTTGAACAGTGAAGGAAGGTTTATTTTTGGCCAGGAATAGGAGTAGCAGGGAGAAAGGCTCATAGATCAGTTTCTCTATGAATTGTCTTTGATGAGATTTGCCAGAAAATAAAGCAGAATGAGTTTGTTTATTGGAGTGAGAGTTTTATATGTACGTACACACACACACATTATATATTTGGTACTGGGGATTGAGCTCAAAGACACTTGACCATTGAGCCACATCCCAGCCATATCTTGTATTTTATTTAGAGACAGGGTCTCACTGAGTAGCACCTCGCTTTTGCTGAGGCTGGCTTTGAACTTTTGATCCTTCTGCCTCAGCCTCCTGAGCCACTGGGATTACAGGTGTGTGCCACCGCACCGGTTTTAACACCGTCTTATAGCCTAGAAATATTGAGAAGAACCAGGCATGGTAGTACACATCTGTTATCCAGGGACTTGGGAGGCTGAGCCAGAAGGAATTGCAATTTTGAGGCCAGCCTTGGCAACTTACATTCTGTCTCAAATTAAAATTTAAAAAGAGCTGGGGCCGGGTGCGGTGGTGCACGCCTGTAATGCCAGTGGCTGGGGAGGCTGAGACAGGAGGATTGCAAGTTCAAAGCCAGCCTCAGCAGAAGCAAGGTGTTAAGCTACTCAGTGAGACCCTGTCTCTAAATAAAATACAAAATAGGGGCTGGGATGTGGCTCAGTGGTCAAGTACCCCTGAATTCAATCCCCAGTACCAAAAAAAAAAAAGATACACCTCCTTGACATCTAAGAAAGTTCTATTACTTAAGTAACCATCAATTGCTGAAGACACAGCTGCTGTGGCTCCCACTAAGGTGACACAGGTTTCTCGAGTAACTGTATATGTGCACATGTAGGTACTGGAGCAAACATTAATATGAAAGATGGAAGAGGGATTTGGAGCAGGAGACAGTGAGTTCAAGCAGGCATTGTGCCCAAACATCATGCAGCCCCACCTCACCCTTAAGTCCTGAGTGGAAACCAGTGAGTCAGCCAAGCTGTGTCAGAATGCCAGGCTTTGAATAAGAATTTAAATAAACACCAAAGCCCTGTCTTGTCCCCAGGGGAAAACAGCTTAACAGTAGTCTGGTGAAAAACTTGTAGAAAGCACCTGTGTTTCCCATTCCTGTCCTGAATTTGCCCCAAACTATGACTAAAGTGCCTCAATAGAGCACAGCCATGGCTGTTCGGGAAGGAGTGATGCAGGAGTTTCCTTCTTTTTCTAGGAAAGTCTGCATCTTCTGGGCAGACGACTATTGACACAATTCCAGGCTTCAAACTCTAAGAGTAGGTCCTAGTTAACTGTCATGGGGCTTTGTCCAGAGCAGAAGAGTCTCTCTCGAAGGGATAGCCTTTTCTCTTTAGCGAAACCCGGTCATAAAGTCCCTGCAGAGTGACCTGTGGCTGAAACCTATTGGTAAACATCCTTTCAACATTTTAAAACACCAACCTCAGGCTGGGGGTATAGCTTAGCGTTGAGCCCTTGCCTAGCATGCATGAAGCCCTGAGTTTGATCCCCAGCATGGCAAAACCAAAATAATAACAACAAAACCCAAAACAACAAAACATCAATCTCAAAGCCAAGTGTTTGGAGTGAAAAGGAGGAGCGGGGTGGGGGGTGGTTATTGGGTAGATGTTGCTCAAAAGGTAGAAAATCACAATTGACAGAAGGAATACATTTAAGAGATCTATTGTCCAACATGGTGATTATAATTAATAATAATACATTGCATTCTTTATTTTTGTGGTGCTGAGGATTGAACCTACTCATAGGCAAGGACTGTATTACTGAGTCACAGTCCTAGCCCTAACATATTTTTTTAGTTGTTGATATACCTTTATTCTATTTATTTATTTATTTATACACAGTGCTGAAAATTGAACCCAGTGCTTCACACATGCTAGTCAAGTGTTCTACCACTGAGCTACAACCCCAGCCCTCCTTAAGATATTTTTAAAAATTGCTGAGAGTAGATTTTAATTGCTCTCACAACAAAACATAAGTGATTTAGGTGATGCATATGTTAACTAGTTCAGTTGAGTCATTCTACAATGTATACATATTTCAAAACATGTTGGGCTGGGGTTGTGGCTCAGTAGTAGAGTGCTTACTTAGCATGTGTGAGACACTGGGTTTAATTTTCAGCACCACAAATAAATAAGTTAGTAAATAAAGGCCATTGACAATTAAAAAAAAATTAAAACAAAAAAAAAATCATGTTGAATCAGGTGTAATGGATGTACACTGGTAATTTCCAGTTGCTGGGGAGGCTGAAGCAGGAGGATTGCTTCAAGTTCAAGTTCAAGGCCAGCCTTGGAAACTTAGTGAGATCCTGTCTCAAAATAAAAAATTAAAAGGGCTGGGCACGCAGCTCAGCAGTGGAGCACCTCTGAGTTCAGTCCTCACTACTGGGGAAACAAAAGTTGCTCCTCTTTTCATAACACCCAACTTATAATTTTGTTGTTATTGTTGACTTATGCATATAATAATTACAATTCATATATTGAGAGTTTAGCATGTGTCAGACATTGTATGAAGGAGGAGTCACACTCAGAAACAATATAACCAATATCCCTGTTCTTATGTTCTTATTACAGATGTGGAGAAGAAAGGTAAGAAAAAACAAGCAAATGTAAAATTCTAAATTCTGTGGCACTAAAGAGGAGAAGAACAAAAAGAAGTAACAGAGAAATATTGGCAGGGATAGAGCAGAAGAAGGTTGTGGCAGTCACAGGAGGCTTGGGGAGGATTTAGTTCCCTCATGATTTCCAACATTCAGGCCATTGCAAATAAAGCAGCGTGTTTACTAGGCAAGCATGCGGTTTTCCTTCCCACCAGATGACCATTCCTGAGCCCTTTCTTTATTCGGGAGTTGTAAATTGTCTGCCATTCCTCAACAGTGATTAGTGTCTTGAAGATGTTGCTGGTTCATCAATGAACGCTATATATATTGGGCACCTTCCATGTGGTAACTACGAGAAGCCATGGGACTGGGGCTGTTGCTCAGCAGCAAAGCACTTGC